AGTGTTACACTGCTTCGTGTCTCTGCTCAGTGTTACACTGCTCGTGTCACTTCTCAGTGTACCAGACTGGCTCGTGGCACTGCAGTGTTAACATTGCTGTGTCACTGCAGTGTTTCCAATGCTCGCTGTCGCCTGCAGTGTTTACCACTGCTCAGTGTCGCTTGCCAGTGTTACACTGCTTCGTGTCACTGCAGTGTTAAACTGCTCGTGTCACTGCAGTGTTACACTTCGTGTTACTGTTCTGTCACTGCAGTGTTACACTGCACGGGTCACTGCAGTGTTTACACTGACTCGTGTCACTGCGTGTTACACTGAGTCTGTGTTCACTGCTCGTGTTACACTGCTTCGTGTCACTGCTAGTGTTACACTGCTCGTGTCACTGCATGTTACACTGCTCGTGTCTCTGCAGTGTTTACATACTCGTGTCGCTGCAGTGTTACACTGCTCGTGTCCACTGCAGTGTTACATCGCTCGTGTCAGTGCAGTGTTACACTGCTCGTGTCAGTGCAGTGTTTACACTGCTCGTTGTCAGTGCAGTTGTTACACTGTTTCGTGTCACTGCCGTGTTACACTGCTGTGTCCATGCAGTGTTCACTGCTTCGTGTCACCTGCAGTGTTCACTGCTCGTGTCACTGCAGTGTTACATGCTGTGTCACTGCAGTGTATAACACTGCTCGTGTCGCTGATCGTGTCACTGCAGTGTTACACTGCTGTTGTCACTCTCGTGTCACTGCGTGTTACACTGTCTCGGTGTCAACTGCAGTGTTACATCTGCTCGTGATCGCTTGACCTCTCAGTGTTCACTTCTCGTGCACTGGAGTGTTACATGTCTTCGTGTCACTGCTCTTGTTCACTGCTCAGTGTTACACACTGTCGTGTCACTGCAGTGTTACATGCTCGTGTCACTGCAGTGTTACACTGCTCGTGTCATGCAGTGTCCCCCCCCCCCCCCCCCCCCCCCCCCCCCCCCCCTCCCCCCCCCCCCCCCCCTTCTTTTAAAATGCGCGTGTCTCTTGCAGTGTTACACTGCTCCGTGTCGCTGCAGTGTTACATGCTCGTGTCAGACTGCATGTGTTACACTGATAGTGTCACCTGCAGTGTTACACTGCTCGTCGTCACTGTCGTGTGTTACAATGCTCGTGTCCACTGCGTGTTACACTCGCTCGTGTCACTGCAGTGTTTCACTGCTCGTGTCACTCTTCGTGTCACTGCAGTGTTTACACTTGCTCGTGTTCACTGCAGATGTTACACTGCACGTGTCGCACTGCAGTGTTACACTGCTCGTGTCACTGCAGTTTTACACTGCTCGTGTCACTGCAGTGTTACACGGCTCGTGTCACTGCAGTGTTCCAATGCTCGTGTCACTGCAGAGTTCCATTGCTCGTGTCATTGCAGTTGTTACACTGCTCGTGTCACTGCAGTGTTTACACTGCTCGCTGTCACCTCAGTTTTACACAGCTCGTGTCACGCAGTGTTACTCTGCTCGGTCCATGAGTGTTACACTGCTAGTGTCATGCGTGTTACGAATGCTCGTGTCACTGCAGTGTTAGTGTCGTGTCACTGCAGTGTTACGCTGCTCGTGTCGCTGCAGTGTTACACTGCTCGTTTCTCACTGCACTGTGTTACACTGTCGTGTCCCACTGTAGTGTTACACTGCTCGTGTCACGGTCAGTGTTTACACTTGCTTCGTGTCACTGCAGTGTTACACTGGATGCGTGTCACTTGGAGTGTTTACACTGCCTCGTGTCACTGCAGTGTTACACTGTCTCGTGTACTGCAGTGTTACACTGCTCGTGGCGACAATGCTCAGTGTTACACTGCTCGTGTCACTGCAGTGGTACACTGCTGTGTCAACTGCAAGTGTTACACTGCTCGTGTCACTGCAGTGTTACATGCTCGTGTCACTGCAGTGTTACACTGCTCGTGTCACTGCAGTGTTGACACTGCTCGTGTCATCTGCAGTGTTCACTGCTCGTGTCGCTCGCAGTGTTACACTCTCGTATCACTGCAGTGCTTACAGGCTACGTGTCACTGCAGTGTTACATTGCTCCGGGTCACTGCAGTGTTACACTGCTCGTGTCACTGTTCGTGTTCTCTCTGCAGCGTTACATTGCTCGTGGTCACTGCAGTGTTATTACACTGCTCTGTGTCGCATGCAGTGTTTACATTCTCGTGTCACTGCAGTGACTACATCTGCTCGTTCATGTCACTGGAGTGTTACACAATGCTCGTGTCACTGCTGTGTCTACACTGCTCGTGTCGCTGACAGTGTTACACTGCGATCGTGATCCGCTGCGCAGTGTTACAATGCTCGTGTCATTGCAGTGTTTGACACTGCTCGTGCACTGCTTGTTACACTGCTGTTGTCCCCCAGCCCCCCCCCCCCCGTGTTACATGCTCGTGTCACCGCAGTGTTTACACTGCCTCGTGTCACCGCCTGTGTTACACTTGCTCGTGGACTGCAGTGTTTCACTGCTCGTGTCACTGCAAGTGTTTCGCTGCCGTGTCACTGGCGCAGTGTTACGTCTGACTCGTGTCACTGCAGTCTGTGTACGCTGCTCGTGTTGCAGGTGTACGCTGCTCGGTGTCGCTGCAGTGTCTTCACTTGCTCGTACTCACTGCAGTGTTACCACTGCTCGTGTCATGTAGTGTTGTACATGCTGTGTCACTGCAGTGGTTACATGCTCGTGTCATGCAGTGTTAACATGCTTGTGTCACTGCAGTGTTACACTGCTAGTGTCATGCAGTGGTTACACTGCTCGTGGTCCACTGCAGTGTTACACTGCCGTGTCGCCTGCAGTGTTTACACTGCTCGTGTCGCTGCAGTGTTACACTGCTGTTGTCACTTGCAGTGTTACTCACTGCTCGAGCAATTCGGAGGACGTGTCACGCAGTGTTACCACTGCTCGTGTCACTTGTTTCGTGTCATGCAGTTGTTACACTGCGCTCGTGTCGACGTGCAGTGTTACACTGCAAGTGTCACTGCAGTGTTGACAATGCTCGTGGTCACTTTGCAGTGTTACAACTGCTCGTGGTCATGCAGTGTTGACACTGCTCGTGTCACTGCAGTGTTATCAATTGGCTAGGTGTCACTACATGCAGTTGGTTTACACTGCTCGTTGTCAACTGCAGTGTTTAACACTATAGTGTCGCCTGCAGTGTTACACTGCTCGCGTGTCACTGCAGTTGTTACACTGGCTCGTGTCTCAGGTGCGCAGTGTTACACTGCTCGTGTCAGTTGGCAGGTTACAGACTTGCTTGTGTTTCGAGGTTGCTGTGTTACACTGTTCGTGTCACTGCGCCGTGTTACATGCTCGTGTCACTGGCAGTGTTAGCACTGCTCGTGTGTCTAACTGCAGTGTTACACTGCTCGTGTCAACGTTGCGTGTTACACTGTCTCGTGTCAGCTGCGCGCGCGCTACACTGCTGCGTGTCGCTGCTCGTTCTGTCACTTGTCGAGTGTTACATTGCTCGTGTCACGGCTGTGTTACACTGCTCGTGTCAATGCTCGTGTCATGCAGTGTTTACCACTGCTCGTGTCATGCAGTTGTTACACTTTGCTCGTGGTCCTGCGCAGTGTTACACTTCTCGTGTCACTGAGAGTGGTTACATGCTCGTGTCACTGCTCTTTGTCACTTGCAGTGTTACACTGCTCGTGTCACTGTGCAGTGTTACACTGCTCGGTGTCACTGCCAGTGTTACACTGCTGTGTCACTGCAGTGTTACCACTGCTCGTGTCATGAAGTGTTACATGTCGTGTCCTGGTGTTACACTGCTGTGTCACTGTCAAGTGTACACTGCTCGTGTCGCTGTAGGTTTACACTGCTCGTGTCGCTTGCAGTGTTACACTGCTCGATGTCATTGCAGTGCTACACTGCTCGGTGCACATGTAGTGTTACCATGCTCGTGTCACTGCAGCGTTACTTGCTCGTGTCACTTGCAGTGTTACACTTCTTCGTGTCACTGCTGTGTCACTGCCAGAGTTACTACTGATCGTTTCACTGCTCGTGTCACTGAAGTGTTACACTGCCTCGTGTCACGCTCGTGTCACTGCAGTTTTACACTGCTCGTGTCACTGCAGTGATTACACTGCCGTGTCACGGCTCAGTGTTTCACTGTCGTGTCACTGCTCGTGTCACTGCAGTGTTACAATGCTCGTGTCTACTGCTCGTGTCAGTGCAGTGTTACACTGCTCGTATGTGCTTGCAGTGTTACACTGCTAGTGTCACTGCTCTGTCAGTGCAGTGTTACACTGCTCGTGTCACTGCAGTGTTGCACTGTCGTGTCTCTGCTGGGTACACTGCTCGTGTCAAGTGCAGTGTTACACTGCTCGTGTCACGGCAGTGTTAAATGCTCTGTGTCACTGTCGTGGCTTGCAAGTGTTACACTGCTCGTGTCCAGATGGTCGTGTCAACTGCTGTGTTTACCACTTGCTCGTGTCACTGCTCGTGTCACGACAGTGTTACACTGCTCGATGTCACTCTGCAGTGTTACACTGCTCGTGTCATGCAGTGGTACATTCTGTGTCTCGCTGCAGAGTTACCTGCTCGTGTCGCTGCAGTGTTACACTGCCTCTCGTGTCGCTGCAATTGTTACACGTGCATCGTGTCACCTGCAGTGTTACACTGCTGTGTCGCACTGCAGTGTTACTCACTGCTGTGTCAACTGTTCCGTGTCACTGCAGTGTTACATGCTCGTGTCTTACTGCAGTGTTACACTGCACGGTCAACTGCAGTGTTACCACTGCTCGGCTCGTGTCACGCAGTGTTACACTGCTCGTGTGCACTGCAGTGTACACTGCTCTACGTCATGCTGTGGTTACACTGCTCGTGGTCATGCAGTGTGTACACTGCTCGTGTCACTGCAGTGTAACACTACTCGTGTCACTGCACTTGTCACTGCAGTGTTACACTGTGTGTCACTGCAGTGATACACTGCTCGTGTCACGGGAGTGGTTACACTGCTGTGTCACTGCAGTGTTACACTGACTGTGTTTCGCGATGCAGTGTTACACTGCTCGTGTCGGCTGCGAGTGTTACACGGCTCTGTCACAGCGTGTTACACTGCTCGTGTCACTGCTCAGTGTTACACTTGCTCGGGTAACTGCAGGTGTTTACAACGCTCGTGTCACCGCAGTGTTACCACTGCTCGTGTTCACGCAGTGTTACACTGGCTCGTGTCACTGCAGTAGTTACGACTGTGTGTTCTCAACTGCAGTTGTTACGCTGCTCGTGTCTCTGCGTGTACGCTGCTCGAGTCACTGCAGTGTTACGCTGCTCGTGTCACTGCAGTGTGTACGCTTGCTCGTGTCGCTGCAGTGTGTACACTGCTCGTCTCATAGCTGTGTTTTCACTGCTCGTGTCACTCTGGGTGTTACACTGCTCGTGTCACACTGCAGTGTTACATGCTCGTGTCAGACTGCTTGTGCTTACACTGCTCGTGTCACTGCAGTGTTACACTGCTCGTGTCATGCAGTGTTACACTGCTCGTGTCACACGCAGTGATACACTGCTCGTGTCCGTCTGCAGTGTTTACAATGCTCGTGTCGCTGCAGTTTTACACTGCTTTTCCGGGTCACTGCAGTGTTAACTGCTCGTGTCACTGCCGTGTTACACTGCTCGTGTCACTGTTCGTGTCCACTTGCAGTGGTTAACATGCTCCGTGTCACTGCAGTGTTACACTGCACTGTGTCACTGCAGTGTTACACTGCTCGTGTCACTGCAGTGTTACATGCTGTTGTCACTGCAGTGTTACACTGCTGTGTCACTGCAGTGTTACACTGCCTCGTGTCACTGCAGTGTGTTACACTACTGTGTCGTGCAGTGTTACACTGCTCGTGTCATGCAGGGTTAAACTGCTCGTGTAGTGCTTGTGTTAACTGCTCGTTGTCGTGCAGTGTTACACTGCTCGTTTCAGTGCAGTGTTACACTGTTGTGTCAATGCCGTGTTTACATGCTCGTGTCACTGCAGTGTTACACAGCTCGTTGTCACTGGCAGTTTACACTGCCTAGTGTCACTGCAGTGTTACAATGCTCGTGTCTCACTGCCTGTGGTTACACTGCTCGTGTCGTGCTCGTTGTCACTGCAGTGTTACACTGCTCGTGTCACTGCAGTGTTTACACTGCTCGTGTCACTGCTGTGGATCAATCTGCAGTGTTACACTGCTCGTGTCACTGCGTGTTTACACTGCTCGTGGTCGCTCTGTCAGGTGGTACACTTCTCGTGTCACTGGAGTGTTACCATGCTCGTGTCCATGCTCTTGTACACTGCAGTGTTACATGGCTCGTGTAACTAGCAGGTGTTACACTGGCTCGTTGTCACTTGCGTGTTACACTGCTCGTGTCACTTGCAGTGTTATCATGCTCGTGTCACTGAAGGTGTTACGCACTGCTCGTGGTCACTGACAGTGTTACACTGCTCGTGTCACTGCAGTGTTACTACTGCTCTTGTCGCGTAGTGTGTACTATGCTTCTCGTGTCGCTGCAGTGGTTACTACTGCCGTTGTCACTGCAGTGCTACACTGTCGTGTCACTGTAGTGTTAACTCACTGCTCGTGTCACTGCAGCGTTACACTGATAGTGTCACGTGCAGTGTTACACTGCTCGTGTCACTGCTTTAACATCCGTGTCAATGCGCAGTGGTTACTCGACTGCTCGTGTCACTGCTTCGTGTCACTGCTAGGTTACACTGCTTCGTGTCCTCTGCTCGTGTCATGCAGTGTTTACATGCACGTGTTCACTGCCAGTGTTACACTGCTCGTAGTGCACTGCAGTGTTACAACTGCTAGTGTCACTGCAGTGTTACACTGTTCGTGTCACTGCTCGTGTCACTGCAGTTGTTTACACTGCACGAGTCACTGCTCTGCAGTTGCAGTGTTTACATGCTCGTGTCGCTGACAGTGTTACACGCTCGTGTCACTGCTCGTGTCGTGCAGTGTTTACACTGTCGTGTCACTGCTCTGTGTTGCACTGCTCGTGTCACTGCAGTGTTACACGGCTCGTGTCAGTGCAGTGTTACACTGTCGTGTATGCAGTTGTTACCACTGCTCGTGTCACTGCTCGTGTCCTCTGCAGTGTTACACTAGCTCGTTGTCATCTAGCTCGTGTCTCACTGCAGTGGTTACACTGCTCGTGTCACTGCTCGTGTCACTGCAGTGTTACACTGCTCGTGTCACTGCAGTGTTACACTGCTCGTGTCACTGCAGTGTTACACTGCTCGTGTCAGTGCAGTGTTACACTGCTCGTGTCGCGAAGTGTTACACTACTCGTGTCCACTGCAGTGTTACCACTGCTCGGTCACTGCAGTGTTACACTGCTCGTGTCACTGTTCGTGTCACTGCAGTGTTACACTGCTCGTGTCACTGCAGTGTTACACTGCTCGTGTCACTGCAGTGTTACAATGCTTCGTGTCACTGCTCAGTGTTACACTGCTCGTGTCACTGCAGTGTTAACACTGCTTCTACGTGGCACTGCCAGTGTTGACGCGACACGCATCGTGTATCACACTGCAGTGTTTTTACACTGCTCGTGGTCATGCTGTGTTAACTACTCGTGGCGCTGCAGTGTTACACTGCTCGTGTTACGCAGTTGTTACACTGCTCGTGTCAGTGCAGTGTCTACCACTGCTCATGTCAGTGCAGTGTTACACTGCTTCGTGTCAGTGCAGTGTTACACTGTTCTTGTCACTGCCGTGTTACATGCTCTTGTCACTGCAGGGTTACACTGTAGTGTGTCACTGCAGTGTTTTACACTGCTAGTGTCATGCAGTGTTACACTGGCTCGTGTCACTGCAGTGTTACACTGCTCGTGTCGCTGCTCGTGTCACTGCAGTGTTACACTGCTCGTGTCACTGCAGTGTTACACTGCCTCGTGTCTCACTGCTCGTGTCACTGCAGTGTTACACTGTCGTGTCACTTGCAGATGTTACACTGCTGTGTCGCTGCAGTGTTACACTTCTCGTGTCACTGGAGTGTTACACTGCTCGTGTCACTGCTCTTGTCACTGCAGTGTTACACTGCTCGTGTACTGCAGTGTTACACTGCCTCGTTGTCACTGCAGTGATTACCTGATCGTGTCACTGCAGTGTTACACTGCTCGTGTCGCCTGTAGTGTTAGACACTGCTAGTGTCGCTGCTGTGTTACACTGCTAGTGTCACTGCAGTTTACACGTGCTCGTGTCACTTGTAGGGTTACACTGCTCGTGTCACTGCAGCGGTTACACTGCTCGTGTCACTGCAGTGTTACACTGCTCGTGTCACCTGCTCGTGGATCACTGCAGTGTTACACTGCTGTAGTCATCGTAGATGTCACTGCATTATTACACTGTTCGTGTCACTGCTCGTGTACTCTGTTTTACAACTTGCTTCGTGTCACTGCAGTGTTACACTGCTCGTGTCACTGCTCGTGTCACTGCAGTGTTACACTGCTCGTGTCACTGCTCGTGTCAGTGCAGTGTTACACTGCTCGTGTCGCTGCAGTGTTACACTGCTCGTGTCACTGCTGCCGTTTCAGTGCAGTGTACACTGCTCGATTCACTGCAGTGTTGCACTGCTCGTGTCCACTGCAAGTGTTACACTGCTCGTGTCACTGCAGTGTTACACTGCTCGTGTCACTGCAGTGTTTTCACTGCTACGTGTCTCTGCTCGTAGTCACTGCAGCGTTCACTGCTCGTGTCACTGCTCGTGTCACTGCAGTGTTACACTGCTCGTGTCACTGCAGTGTTACACTGCTCGGGTCACTGCAGTGTTACACTGCTCGTGTCACTGCAGTGTTACACTGCTCGTGTCACTGCAGTGTTACACTGCTCGTGTCACTGCTCGTGTCACTGCAGTGTTACACTGCTCGTGTCACTGCTCGTGTCACTGCAGTGTTACACTGCTCGTTGTCACTGCCCCCCCCCCCCCCCCCCCCCCCCCCCCAGTGTTACACTGCTCGGGTCATGCAGTGTTACACTGCGTCGTGTCACTGCAGTGTTACACTACTTTTCGTGATCACTGCAGTGTTTACACTTGCACGTGTCATGCTTAGTGTCACTAGCAGTGTTACAATGGCTCGTGTCACTGCTCGTGTCACTGCAGTGTTACACTGCTCGTGTCACTGCTCGTGTCACTGCAGTGTTACACTGCTCGTGTCACTGCTCGTGTCACTGCAGTGTTCTCTAAGGCTACAAATTACACTCTCAGTAACTTTTACAAACTAGTGCCTATAACTTACTAATTATCATTCCTATAAAAATTACATAAAGTACTTTAACAATTTTCTGACTTTGTCTGTTCAAAAATAAAAATGGCAGGTGTTTATGGCAGGTGTTTACGACGTACGATTTTCCTACGAATAAAATCGACAGGTGTTAAAACACCTGTGTAGTTCTATTGAACTGTGTTGCTAGCACACACTGGGAATTATGGTTGCTAGCATCACACTGGGAATTATGTTGATTGATTCACTCAACACTGTAGAGAATTATGTTGCCTACCTCACTAATAAGCACACACTGGCCGAATATGCCTTCGCTAAGAGTATACCACTGGAATTATGTTGTAGCACACACTGGGGATTATTCAATATGTGAAGGAGAGAGAGAGAAGAGAGAGAGAAGAAGAGAGATGAGAGAGATGAGAGAGAGAGAGTGACGAGAGAGAGAGAGAGAGAGACAGAGACAGAGAGAGAGACAGAGAGAGACATGAGAGAGACAGAGAGAGGACAGAGAGAGAGAGAGTGGTGAGGTGTGGGTGAAAACAGCAGGAGAGAAGATGAAGAGAGAGAGAGACAGAGACAGGAGAGACAGAGAGAGAGAGAGAGACAGAGAGAGAGACAGAAAAAAGAGAGAGGCAGAGAGAAGACGGGAGAACGAGAGACAGAGGAGACAGAGAGAGAGACAGAAAGAAGAGAGAGACAAAAAGAGAGAGAGAAGAGAGAGAGAGAAGAGAGAGAGGGAGAGAGAGAGAGAGACAGAGAGAGAGAGAGAGGACAGAGAGAGAGAGAGAGAGACAAAAGAGAGAGAAAAGAGACAGAGAGAGGAGAGAGAAACGAGAGAGGAGAGACCCGAGAGCAGAGAGAGAGAAGAACAGAGACAGAGAGAAAAGAGAGAGACAGAGACA